CAACAACAAATCCCCTAATTGAGAAATAATGACTCTTTCTTGAGTATCCTTTTCTTTGTTTGCAATTCCTTTGTTTGGGGGTTAGAACATGTGGTCAGGTTCACAAGACTAGTTATCAGAAACATTAGTAGGTTGCCAATCTGAATTCTTCTTTAGCCCATAATGTTCATGAGTGTGGCAGAGCTAATGTGCCTTAATTCACATTTCTTCACAATATTTTCAAATGTAACTGCTCTCTTATGGAATAGCCAGTGTATGATGAAGTATTAACAGTATCATTAAAAGCCATCATACTCTCACTTAGTCTTAGGGATTCCCAATTTTGCTATTCATAAGGAGTTTAATTAGGATACAGAGAGAAAGCAAGTAAAATATTTCCATAAATAAAACTTTCAATAAAAGAGAAAAAAAAGATACAACTCAAATTTAGGGATCACACAAACATTCTGGATATTTTCCATGACTGTGTTAAACTAATTACAACAAGAGTAATATGAAACACACTGATTTTTAGAAAGAAGAATTCATCGCCATCATCTTTCTCTGACATCTTATCACCAGATCTTCAGAGCATGATACCTACATGGAAATATCTCAATCTTACATCAGACCTCACTTTACTGTGAGGGAAATGTTCAAGAGATTTCATGGATGATTCATTTTCTAAGAAATCTCTAAGGGACAGGAAAAAAGAACTCCATGAATGATTACTGAAAATATACTAACCAACCTCAAAAACTATGGTTTCATTCTCAGTCTACCCAAACCTTCACTCAGCCCTCAAATGCCCTAGGCAGGACAGTAAAATCAGGCGTCTCCCTTGAACCGAGACAGAACATTGGCCTAAGGTGGTAAACCACAGTTCTGCAGAACTCTTATCTCTAGGTTGTTAGGTATCTAATAGAGAACTTAAAGGAACACTATGAGAAGACAAAAAGTATTGTCCCCTGCAGTGCTGACTTCGCTGTCAGCTCACCCTGGACATAAGCATCCCTAGCCTAATGTAGCTCACCCACATTCTACCTAGGAGAATATAAGGAAAAAGGATCTTATCTGGGAAGACCTAGTGCCAGGGAGGGTCAGGAGCAAGTTGTAGTTATTGAGAGAAGAGCAGATCATTACACTTCCCAACACAGGGGCTTCACATGGCCTAGGGCCTGTTCTTAACTATGGGAGAACCCAGGGAGAGATATGAAGCCTTGATTTCTTCTGGATAGTCTCTCAGATTGGTGAGCAAGATGCAATAGAGTTAGTTTGGTTCTTCTGAGTCAGAAGAATTGTCACTACATGAAGTCAAGCTGAGGAGATTCACCAGTGCTCCACATAGGACCACATCTAGAAAAGGCATTATACCAAAAGCTTCAGCCTTAAACGAGTCAAACGACAAAGCCAAAAGTCATTAGTCTGGGAGGAATAAACAGGGAGAATAGGGGCTGTTCATAGAGGTGGAAGGGAGATAAAAGATGGTTTGGGGAGAGACAATGCAGCATATACATGTATGAAATTGTCAAAGAACTAACTTAATTTAAAAAAAAATGAAAGAAAGAAAAATAATAACAAAGCCTCTACCTGTTTCTAGACCTGACCAGTGAAGGCAAAGAAACTAGCCATAAGTGTGGCATGTCTAGACTTCCACTCAGGTGAGTGAAGAAGGTGAGGGCTGTGTTTGGTTTTTTCAGGTGGCCTAAGAGAACTAGGAAAAAGAATCCCAGCATCCCAAGAATCCACTCTGTTGACCCAGCATACAGAGTTTTGGTGTGCCCCATTTCTGCCTGAAAAGGCACAAAAATCAGCCTAATAGGATGTAAAGGGCAGGGCCTCAGTTCTGCAAGAGATGGGTCTTTTTCAAAACTAAAGACAAGCTAAGAGAACCTGAGAGGGAATGACAGAAACTATTCCCCAAACAAGGAGGCTCACACAGACTTGCCCCTACTGTCATGTGACCAGCTATGGTTCATGTGAAACTTGGCTAGAGTGCCAACTCTGCAACTTAGGCAAGTGTGGGCGTCGTTTGGAGGCTGGAGGACTTTGGTCAATATAGTGAGGAATTACTTGAGTCTGTTAGACCACTCTGGAAAAGAGGGGGGCATCAAAAGTCCCAACTCTATTTCCAGCTCTGTGAGGCCAGAAAGAAAGCTTTCAACCTATTTATTGTATGTAGACTTCCACTCCAAGGACTAAGGAAGAGGAGGGCTATGTTTTGGGCTGGTGAGTTTGGGTCAGTAGAGGGAGGGATCCTCAGACAGGCAGAAACCATTCTAATTGTGATGTACCAAATAACATTGTAACCATGTTTCTCTGCTATCTAAGTGGAAGGACTGGGAAAGCACAGTAATGTATGTGAAAGCCGCGAGTTAAGCTCCAGTTGAGGGAGGGACATGAAATGTGGGGCTGGGCTTACAAAATGAGGAGCTGAAGGAAGTGTAAGGACAAGATGAGGGCAAACTTAGGTGGGCCAGGCACAGGCTACAGTGGGGCTCCAGAGGCTCAGGAAAGGAGTTCCCTGTGCAGGGGACTGAGAGAGGTGTGAGGGTTTGAAGAGACTAGGTAACTTAGAGGAGTCCAGTGAGGAATTCCATGTTCTCCTCCATACTGAACCAACAACAGTGGGGTTCCTTAGAAACCCGCCCCTCCTGTCAATCTTCAGAGCTTGCCCCTGACCAGATATGACGTATTTTCTTTTTCCGGAGGAAGGAGGGGAGCTGGGTCTTGGTTATCCTTGGCAGAGGGGCTGTGTGTCTTCCGTATAGAGTGGCTGCCACCAAGTCCTAGAAGCCGTCTCTTGTAAAGGTAAGGACTGAATATTGAAGAGAGCATACCTCTCTGATAATCAAAGGGGCTGTACTTTTAGTTCTACCCCTGGGTTGCCAATCTTGTTGTCAGAACGATGTAAATTGTAATGCACCTTGGCAAGTCTCAGGGTAGGGAAAGGACCACGGTCTTAGAAAAGAGCCTCTATTTTGCAAATGGCAAGGTCGTAGATCATGAAGTTTGATTTAAAGTCAAAATTTGAACCCGGAAGGATGAGTGGATTTCTGCTGAGCTTCTCCAGCTTTGGGCTCTAGGAGGCCTCACGCAGATTAAACAAACTTGGAACAGGCTGTCTTCATCCCCAGGGAATTAGGGCGTTAAAGCTTGCCGACCCCCCCCACCAAAAAAAAAAGAAAACAAAACCCAAGCAACAACGAAAAGAACATAGTGTAAACTGGAAAAAATGCAAGTCCAGAATGACTTGCAAAATTTAGCCAGACAAAGGAAGCACGTGGGAGGGACTCAGAGGCAGGAGGAGCAACCCCAAAGATTCAAGGCCACCCTGAATTGCATGGTGAGACAATGTCTCAAGTAAAAGGAACAGAACAAAGAAAACACAGAAAAGATATAATCCCTATATTTAAGAACCACATATTATTCTAGATATAAGATGGCAGAGGCAGGGAGAATGCTGGACAGTGGGGGTGGACATGAGCAAAGTACAAGATATACATGTGTAAATGTTCATAATAAAATACATTATTTAGTATAATCAATATACAGAAAGAAAAAGTGTCCATTAAGAATATTTAAGCACAGTAGTAATGTTATAAGTGTTAAAATCAAAGTGAAATATTGAAAGCTGCATAGGAATTTGGTTTTTATTTTTTTGTATATTATCCTTATGTAGGACTTGATTTCTGGATCATACTGCCCAGTGTTAACAATATATGCTATTTTCATGTCAAATTCTGTGACAGAATTTTAATTTTTTTTGTTTTTGATAATTTCATACATGAGTATTGTCCTTGCATTATTTCCATCCCTCCCAGTCCCCCCACCAACTCCTCCCATGTACCCTCACTCCCTCTCAATTTCCTGTACTCTTTTATTATTATTATTGTTA